TGTTATAGTAAATTTCAGCTTTGTCTTAATATTTGCCCTAAGTTGATCTTTGACTTATAAGTCATCAGTCCAGGATCAGATTTGTACAAAATCTCATAACAACAGATTACTATTATACTACGCAGAGATTTGGGGAATCTTGCTTTGATAAATGTGCCAGTTTTACTATCATGGGTATTTTTTGTGTGAGCCAAATTACATAATCATCTACCTCCAACAAATAAGCTATGTATTCCTGCCATTTTAAATCTCTTGTCCCCAAAACTGGATGGAAAAACAGTGAGTTAAAATACTGGTGTGCCTATTGAATCCAAAATACAGTCTTCCTGTCATTTTTTATGAAGTCTTAGAAATACACTTTGAAAGTGTATATGGAGCCACATCTTCAGACAGTGTAAATTTATGTAGCTCTTGAGTTTTGTAGAACTACCCAAGCAACACTGGCTAACAATTCAGACACTTCTGAAGTTCTATGATTTTAATATTACATTTGAGAAAAAACGTGATAATGGGATTTTTTAATTATTATTCTCTTCTTAGAAAACAAGGGATTTACCCCCAAATGGTGTTAAGAGTCTTAATGTGTAAGTCAAAAAAAAATTACATTTTAATATTGTATCTCCAAAAGTAGAATTAGAAAAGCACTGTTAAAAACTAAGCTTTAACTATTTGCCTACTGCTGAATTAAACGTAGAAGAATGAACCTTTTGTGCAGATGAATGTACCAGTGCACCTTTACATTCTGGTGGTATCACCAGCAAAAAATGTTCTGATAAATTTGGTGGAGAACAAGCACAACTTGTTCTGTTGGTGTGGATATTATAGGAAACATTGTTTATAGGCGTGTGTTATTTCAAAGCATTGTATTATGCTTTTTTTGCTTCACTCTCACCTAATCTGCTAGTAAACATCCTGTGCCAAAAGGTTGCAGGAAGCCATGTGGAAATTATTTTGACTGAAACATTATAAATAAAAACAGTAAATAACTCATGATCAGAAAACTACTTTTCCAAGTGAAAAAATAGAAGTTCCTTTACAAGAAAGGTTTCCATAAAATTCCAGGCCCTGAGGTATTTTTCTTTCACGAAGTGCAGTACCACCTTCTAAGTAGTTGGTAGATCTGGGACAATATGGATAAACATTCCTCTGAAACCACAGTCTTATCAGTAATTCCAAATATGTAGTGGAAAGGTTACACTAAAGTGAAAGCAGCAGAGAGCACCAGCTTCTTGTACAAAGTGGTTTGGATGAGTTCAATTCTTAGTATCCCTACAGAGATTGAATAAGGCAGTGATATGACAGGGATCTTTTTTTATTTAAAAAAAAAAAAAGATTACTCAGAATAAATAATAGTTAGACAAGATAATTACTGTGTCAGTAATGTAAACTACTTCCACTTTCAGTATTAAACTCTCAAGGAAATTACTGTACAATATCATAGACGGACGCATAGAAATCGTGATTCAGAGTCCACACGGAACAATACAGACATAAAAAACCAGCAGGGTTATGGCCTGCACATGTGTGTTCTGGCCACGAGCACGTGTTGCAATGCAGTTCAGGTAGGATAACAGGAATCGCAAAGGTGCAGACAGCTCAAAAGGAGGAGTTAAAATTTATTGCTTTGATTGCTACAAGGCAGCAGAAGTTCTTCTCGCAGTAAAACCTTAGGATTTCTGCTAAGGTTCCTCTCCCAAATATAAAACAGAGCAATGCAGAAGTAAATAGTATTGGGCTGAATTTGGCTGACAGTTTCCTAGTTGCAGCTGACAATTATTTTCTAGTTATGTTTAGTTTGTCACAGTGTGCTAAGGTGTTTTTTTGGTAATTCAGTTTCCTAGTGGAGCTTCTTGGCAGAAGTGTTATTAAAGGTCATCCCAGAACTTCACGCTTCAGATCAAAATAAAGCTATGTACATTAAACCTTTAGCCTGTTCTGAGTTCAGTCACAGCAGCGTAGAATTCTGTATTTTTGGCACATGGTTAAAAAGTCAAAGCTCTATTCCAAGGCCAGATCAAGAAAATGAGGTCAATCAGAGATCAAACTGGCCTCCTTGGAAAACAAGGTTGTGCCAAAAACAAGCTATCAATTTGGGATTAGCAAGCTTTCATTCTACACAGAATTTCATTTGCAGTTGTCCCTCTGTGCAATACAACAAAGTAGCACAGATGGTGCAGTCTTTGTGATCTTCTGTGTTTCTCATTTTCAGCACTTGTAAATTCATTTCCCATAATATTCATCGTACTTCAAGTTCACTGACGCCCTGTAAAATGCATAGGACAGAGTGGAAATGAGATTCCCTGCTGGTAAAGTGGAAATCAGCTGATGGCACAGTAGGTTACTGGACTCATAAAGGAAAAATAAAAGCTAATGCAGAACAGTTTTTTAGAAGCTCTGAAACATTAAAATCTTACTTCTTGGGGGGGGATTGAAATGGCAGGATGTAAAGAAACCTGTCCTGTCCCTATAAACGTGATGGAAGTTTAGTTCATATGGATGGACTAAAGAAAAGATACATGATGACAGTGCATTCCAGTGAAAAGGAAGATGGAAACTTTCCATTCCTACTTGTGTCTCTCCTTTTTTTCTCATTGCTTTCTTGCATCATATGGAAGAGCTTTTTACCAATACTATTTCATCTTCTGAACAACCATCTTTTTATCAGCTTTAGAAATAAGGCTTGCCAAGTCCTTATCAACACCCTTCTTTCAGCTATTATCACACACCATATCTTCATAGACTGTATTGCATTAAAGCAAATGGTAAATGACTGATTGATCCTACTTTCTGTTGGTGTTTTAGTCAAAGTAGTTTCACCTTTTTCCTTTCCTGTGCCCAAAAACAGGAATTCAACATACTATATATGTAAAAGGCAACAGTATTTCTGTATTTTTTTTTAGAGTAGATGACTGGAGCAGACAAAAGCTTTAAAAATCATGCAAAGAAAACCGAGCCGAATATTTACTCACAGTTTTGACATAGCATTAACTGTCACAAGCAGAAAAGAAGCTCTGTATCCACTCCTTTAGCAATTCATCATAAGCAGTCTAAAACACTTGCTGATGAGGCCATCAAATTTCACAATTTGTTCTCTAAATCTTTTCAAGTGCAAATATAGTCTTTGGTTGCATAACTTACTATAACTCAAACCATTTTGAAAATTTTTAATCTCGGTCATTCAGATGATAGTTTTAGGTGATGGTGGAGTTATTCTCATACAAAATGCCAGGCTGAGCATTATTACCCATTAATAGTATTAAACACTAGCACTCACTACCTTTTTGAAAATGGTAATATGAAACAGTTCTGAGTAGAAGCTACAACTCAGAAAATGCTAAAATAGTACAAGAAGTTTGTCAGTAAATAAAATTTACATTCTATAAACTATCTTTGAACAGATCAATAAGAAAACTTAGTTTGTCTCCACTGCTTTCAGTACATTTTCCCCATTCTAATAAGATATTGGTAAATCGGAATCTGAACTCTGCAATCTAAAATCCAGGACTTATCTGGATTCATGCAGCTGTATTTCACAGCAAAAGTCTGAAGGGCAGCCAGAAGCTTAGAGGAACATCAGATTACTGCAGGTCTGTCTTTTAGAAACTATTTTATGAATTCAGACAGGCATCCAATTGTCATCATACTCCAGGTTTTGGGTGCTGCTGCTTCTAGACAGCCTAGCTTTCCGTTCCCCTTGTCAATTACAAAGTATCTAGTGTACAAATTTTAGTGTTCATCTAGTCAGCAATTTAATCCGTCTTAAATAACCCAGCTGCCTCTTCCACTTCTCACTTCGTGTTGTTTGTAAACAAAAAGCAAGAAGCAGAAAATACATCTCTAATCAGAGCTCATCTCTCTTGTCTTTGTAGATAACTGCATGTATGTTCATGTACTCATGTACTTCCCTGTAATAAATAAGAGAAGTGAAAGTGTCCAAAAGCCATCACTATTGGGCATTTGTGGGATGACAGAATATTTTTTTTTTCTTTATTGGTTACTTTCTTTAACAGCAGAATAATTGTTTTCATGAATGCAGTCATTTTAGTATTGATTTTAATCATAATACTATTTAGTCTTTAATTTCTGTTTTGTGGATAGAAAGACAGGAGTCTGAAACAAAAACTCGTATTTAAGAACAGATATTGGGGAAAGTTTGGCTGTGCTGTGGATTCAGATTTTCAAGTGGACGCTGCTCTGAAAGTTTACATGAACCACAGTAACAACGGAGTTGTTAATGCGACTTCAGCCTGGGAAGTGTTACAAGGATCATTATATACCAAGTTCTGTTCTGCTTGATGCTGGAGAGGTCTTAACTGGAATACTGTACTCATTATAGGGTCTTCAGGAAGGTGTAATAAATGGGGAGAAATCCAGAAAAGAGCAACAAGAATCAGAGGGTTAGGAATAAAGGTAGGAGGAATGAGGGCTGGTTATTTTCAAAAAGAAAACAATGAAGAGGGGAAAAGTTCCATTTTCCCTAGTGTAAAGGTGTAATGTTAAAGGATGGGAATCAGTATTTTTTAATATCAGCTAGAAGAAGGGCTACTAGTTTAATTTGAAGTAAAACAGATTTAGGATTGAATAGCAGGAAGAAAAAGAAAGGAGAAGATCGAGGAGGACGTCTCTCTTCTGGGGTGTTTTCAGTAGGTTGGAAAGGCATTTCTTAGGAATGATCCAGCTGGCAACGTACAGATCAGATTCGCCTTGCAGGCCCATTCTGCTGGCTCAGAGGAAAAGGGAATGGGTGGAAAGGCAGCGTACTCTGCCCCGACAGCTGAATGCCTTTTGGTGCAGATGTGCATGGCTGGTTGTCTCTAAATTAGAAGGAAGCGTTATGAGATCCACAGAGGCCTATGAAAGTGTGCTTTTGTACTACCACAATTCTAGGATCGGCAATATTTTCTAAAATGAGTGAACTAAGGCTGATTTTGAGAGGTGCAAAGCCTATCTCCTATTATTTTAACTGAAATTCCAGTAATAAATTTGAGCGCCCTTTTGTGAAGTAAGTAGGAAAAAGAGGCTGCCTAGGACTAAAATTAGAAACTAGAAATAAGTGTTGATTTCTTTTTCTATGGGCAAGGAGAAATGCTTTTCATAAACTTTAAAAAAGGCCTTGTATTCACCAAATTGAGAAGTATGAATTTTTTTAAGAGCAAATACTCTGTGGATTATATATTCCTAATAGAATATAATTTTTAGCTGGCAGGTTAGAATTAGAAATCCTCTGTGGGTAACATGAAACACAGTACAATAGCTAAGGGCAAGTGCTTTTTTGTACTTTTCTTATCAGCAAGTAAGCTTGACCTTAAAATTAAACTCTTTCAGAATGAGTTTATATTTTGGATTAGGTCAGTTAAGTATTTTTAAAAACTGAAGGCTGGATTACAACACACTGAACCTTTTCTGCAGTTGGGAATTGATTATCCCCGTGGCTGGCTGTACAAGAAAAAGGCCATGGACATGAAGGGCACAGAAGACAAAACTATTCTCATTCTCCTTAATAGCTGTTCTCCCAATCAGTTTTGATACATGCTGGTAGGGTCTATATAACACTTTTCTACTGCTGTCTTCTGTGCAGTATTAAGTATTTAATAAATCTGGGGAATTCAGTCTCCAAGACAATCAGCTGAGATTTTTTTTCATGTATAATTCAAAGGTTAATGCTGTATTTTTACTGTATTTGTTTAAACTTTTATAACCCTTGAGAGAAGGGGAGGCTTTCTATTGATAACTCACTTCACCTCTAACAGTATAAAATACATTTGAAAATTTAAATTGGCAAGAGCCACTGTACAAAGAGGGGTAACTATCAACACTTCCAGAAAATTATGATTTTCCTCTTAAATAAAATTGACTAGAAAATGCATTTTTCAGATTTGTTTTGTTTGTGCATGGCAGTTATAAACAGGCAGTTTAAGCTATACTGTACATAATACATGCTTGTGAAGTATGGAAATACGCACAGTATCAAAGACAGGAGGACAATCAATATACTGTTGCTACTTGTGTCTATTTTCATATAATTATCTGACAATGCACTTTTCTGATCAACAAGCATAAAAGACTAAAATCTCCCATTAAACTATGTGTTTCTTAACCATATAAGCACATAAAAAATGAAAATTTTTTTTTCAGTGAAAGGTAAGTTTATAACTTGCCCTACATAAGTTCCTGAGAAGGGGAAAAACAAAAAATGGGGACAAAAGTCACCTTATGCATATATTTAGTGCTAGTATGAGATCTGGGCTCCTTGGTTGTTGTGACTGTGTAGAACTAGTGCTGACATTTACTAACCTTAGTTATCCGGCTTTCCTTGGCTTTCAGAGACGAGCTAAGGGAAGCTGTAACTCCATCTGAAGCGAGATGTCTTCCTATTTCCTCTTCCTTTGAGCTTTGCAGTTAAGACCTGTTGGTACATTATAGCAACTGAATACTTAAGCTCTAACCTTACACACTTTGAACGATCTCACTGAAGTCAGCAGAACTAAGGTTAATATGCAAAGGTCAACACACCTGAGTCTTTGTAGGGCTGTAATTTTAATCAGTAAATGCCTTAGAACAGAGGCCTTAATAGAGGTTGTCCAGTGGCTGTTGTAAGGGGGTTGGGGCTGCCAGTTATTATGGCAGTACAAACAATTAATAAGGATAATTATTATGGTGATAATGTACGTATCAACAAGATACTTCTGGATAGAAATTAAAAACAGCCTATGTATGGCAAAATAAAAACATATACTTAGGATCTTAACAAATCATTGAAAGCAATTAAGGTACCACGTTCTAATGAGTTTCCATTCATCATCTGAGCCGCAGCAAGTATGCTTGCCAGCAGCCCCTGCCGCGCACACATACAGCTCTCACTGCAGACAGGCTGTGTTAGCTTGACACAGCTGCGGCTAGTAGATTGCAGTTTCCAATTACAGTGGGCAAGGAGCATGCATCCAGTCACTTAACTCAGCTGACAGGTGGTAACTTGCTATGCCATGCTAACTCAGTCATGTGCAATCATTTGATCATAGCCTCAAATATTCTATGCGTGTTTCTTTGTATCTCCTATTGCTATTGATTATCTCGTTCAAGCTTCACACAAAGCTGAGAGAAGAACATGAAATAAAATGATACGAATAAACAAGTAACTGTAAGGGAAGCTTCACTGTGCATTTACCATATATCAGCTGCTATTCTGACTAAAAGCACAACCTGTCTGAACTGTATTTTCCATCGAATAACATATGCACAGGGAGAGCTGCCTGCATGTATTGGTCTGCAGTTGCTTACTATCCAGTGGAAACTGTTCATGTGCCTCTGCCAAGGTCAGTTCAGTAAAAAATTTTTCAGTGCTTGTGTTTAGACTGTGGATACCCATCAACAAAGTACATATTTAAAAAAAAAAAAAAATACAGAATTTACAAATGTCAGAGTTACGTTACATTTGTTCTGTTTATTTTCTTCCCCCAGATTTGTAAGAGCAAAGCTAAGGAGTCCCAGCAGTATTATCACAGCCTCTCTATCCGGCAGAGTCTGGCTATCAACTTTAACATCCAACAGGACTGCGGCCATTTCCTTGCTGAAGTGCCAGTTCGTCTCCTTCCATGGGAGGATGCCGATGCACCAGAGGTGGAAGAAGAAGAGCAGGAGGAAGAGGAGAAAGAGCCTGAGCAAAAGAACAAAAACACTCCTTCCGATAGAGAGGCTTCACAGAAAGACAGCTCAAGCAACCAGGGGACCATCAGCAAGCCACGCAGCCGTGTTGTGGTCATCACGCGGGAGGTCCCGTACTTAACAGTGGCTGACTTTGTGCGAGAATCTGTGCCCCGCCATGCAAAAAGCCCAGATTTATATGAGAGGCAGGTCTGTCTGCTCCTTTTACAGCTGTGTTTGGGCCTGGAGCACCTGAAACCCTATCACATCACACACTGTGATCTGCGGTTAGAGAACCTGCTGCTGGTACATTCCAGACCAGGAGGCAGCCCTCTGAGCTCTGAGTCCATGGAACCCAGTCCCAACACTGCTTGCCCTGCCAGATTAATAGTGAGCAATTTCTCCCAGGCCAAGCAGAAGAGTCATATGGTAGATCCTGAGGTCCTACGGGATCAGTCTCGCCTGGCTCCAGAAATCATCACTGCAACACAGTACAAAAAGTGTGATGAGTTCCAGACTGGCATCCTCATCTACGAAATGCTGCACTTACCCAATCCCTTTGATGAGAATCCAGAGCTGAAGGAGAAGGAGTATACTCGTGCTGATCTCCCCAAAATTCCTTGCCGTTCCCTCTACTCTCAAGGGCTTCAACAACTTGCCAGCTGCCTGCTGAATCCCAACCCTTCAGAGAGGATCCTGATATCAGAAGCCAAGGGAATTCTTCAGTGTTTGCTTTGGGGTCCACGTGAGGACTTGTTCCATGCTCTAAGTACCTCTTCCAACCCCTCGCAGAGAGATGCTGTACTTCAGAACTGGCTGGATATAAAAAGGACGCTGCTGATGATCAAGTTTGCAGAGAAGTCCTTGGACAGGGACTGTGGAGTTATTCTGGAAGACTGGCTTTGTTGTCAATATCTGGCTTTTGCCACTATAGACTCACTTCATCGCATTGTGAGAATCATGCAGCAGCACTAGTTTGTAGAGCCTGTTGCTTTTCATAAAGCACCCCCCCACCTCCACCCCAGCCCTCGCTCCAGCCTGCCCTAGGGCTCACACTTTGTACAAGTGTTAAAAAATAGCCTAGATATCAAAGCCAGCAACTCTGAGCAAATAGGTTCTAATTGGAGAAATTCCATCCGGTACCCAATATGACAGAAACTTTACTTTTTGCCAGGCCTGTTAGGGATTGATTATATATACATGACTGGATTTGGGTCAGTATGTAACTTGATTAATATCTGGCTGAAAAGGAGAGCAAACTTTGATACCACTATTTCTACCACTGCAGTAAACAAATTGCCCTCCTCTTCTGGGTAGTTTCTGTCATTTCCATATGTAGTATCGGTTAGTGAATAGCAGTCACCATAAGCAGATGTGGATTAGTTGTAACCATGAGACGAATGATCCACCATGCCACAAAACACTTATTTGCTTCCATTCACATACCACGCAAAATTTTCTCTCAGCTTAATGAGTCCCCCACAAGCGGGCCGGACTCCTCTTTCCTCTGTTCTCAACCAAACAGGTTCTGATCTTTCTCTCACACTTAACGCCGCCTTTTTTCCCTCCCCAGATGTAGTTATCCTGCTGACTGCAGCAAGTGTCAGTGGGCAGTAAACATCTGTGTTCAGTCCTCTTCCCTCCTTCTCTGGCTCTGACTCACTGCCTACCCATATTCTTTCTAACCATGGATCCGTGATTTCAACAATGCTGCCTTAATCAGACCATTACCCTTAGCTTAAGACCTCTGCATTAAAAAGCAGAATATGCACACTTTGTCTATCCCATTTCCTACATGACATTCACCAGTCTGGACTGGTGATGTACTGTAGCTATAACCACGTCTATACAAGAACAATACAACACATGGTGGGCAGTTGAAATTCCTCTTCCATCGCAGAAGGCATTAAAGCCTGACTTGAAATGGATAGGATGTACATAACCTTCTCTGACAATCACTGCTATGAATCGGGGATGAAAATAACAGCCACCTCTTCTCTTTTATTTTGTTCTGCTCTTGTCACTTGTGCCATATTGCAAAGTGGGACTGACATTGGCTCTGTTGGTATGTTGGCAGGAGATAGAAACGTTTAGAGCTTGTCTCTGTGAAGCTGACAGGCCACATGGAGACACTTCTACTGCAGACACAGCTCTCTGAAGGGTAAAAACAAGGGGGCAAAAACACTGTTGCTTAATTATTGAGGGAGCTGTTGAGTTTGGCAGCCACAACTAACAGTATCATGATCCATTTTTCCCACAGCGGTATTTGGCTGCATATCAGTCTGTTGTAACTAGTGTTTTCTAATGTTGCTATAGACAACACCCTACAAATGGAATGTTGTCAGAATAGCTCAAAGAGCATTGCAGACAGAGTTTTGGACTAGAGCAGGAATTAGTGAGAATTAAAGAGACAGAATTTTTAAAAACTCAACCTGAAGGAGCTTTTAACTTTTAGAGGCCGCTGCTGACTTCCTTCCCTGGCCTAACGGCTATTTCCTATGGAACCTCTGCAGTTGTACAGACGGTATCTTTGCTCAGCATTGCTAGGCTCTGAATTGTTTCCTGAATCGCTCTGAAGAATTGATCTGGATGCAGGGGAAAAATTGATACCGAATATTCTGACCCAGGTGATGGAAAGCAGACAGCCCTAGTTATGAACCTGTGCTTCTCTCCTATGGATCTATGTGCAATTCTTGTATGTATTTTTTAAAGCTGTACATTACAGTGTTCACTTTACACACCAGCCTTTACCTGATGCTAGATCTGCAGCCCCTTCCTTTACTTTCCTGGCACATAAATGCACAGATATCCTTGTGTTCTTTTTATGGATTGATGTTTCATTTTAATTGTTAAAACTGTGAGGAATCAATTCACTTCAGCCTTGAAAGAAATAGCCACTTTATACAGCATATGCATGCTTGGACCAGATGCATGGAAACTGAACAAACAGTCCTGCAGGCTTAAAGTCAGTAAAACTAGCTCTGGATCCACACCATACATTTGGAGGGGTTGAAATGTATATATTATTCTTCTCTGGCATCTATCAGAGCTAAGCTGAATAGTGTGTGGAAGCCTACATCGATTGTGCCGTAGTATAGACTGTCTTTGTGACCTTTCTAAAGATTTATTTTTTTTTTGAAACTTCTGATTATTATTCTTTTGTTTGATTCACCTGTATCAGTGAAGGATCAGGCAAGGATAAGGATAATATATTTTAATGTGATATCTATTTTTTTCTTCTCTTTTTGGCAAAAAGGTTAGGATGGCGGCATTGATGCAGAAAAAGAGAACAGTGCATTAAAAGCCCAAGTGCAATGTATGTAGTTGAGGTATTTCCATTACATCAGGAAAGAAAGTTTCTACACTACTGCTGAGCAGCTCGTAGAAGAACCTTTACAAAGAACCACACACACGTTCAGTGCAGCCCTGCTTTATCTGGACACAGGAGGGCAATGCTCTTATAGTTTAAATACACCGAGCATGACAAGTCACTTGCGTACTATCTACTAGCTATTAGTCCAATGTGTTGAGCTACAAGTAGGGCTTCTTGTTCTCTGTGGTCTAGTTTTGTGTTTGTTTCATAGTGCATGTGCGCACATCATTTCTCACCGAACTCACATAGGCCGTACGAGCAATTCTTGGACCACTTGCCATTGCAGTGGGCTCATTCCTTGAAGCTGGCAGGTGTTTCCGTGTTTACGGACAGACGTTCTCAGTGTCATTTTCATGTCAACACGCACATGCAAAGTTGAATTTTGAATGTTTTACAACCATATGTATTTAACGCAGCTGGTCCGAAGCCTTTGTATCTCTAGCTATCTAATTTCAGTTTGTATCTTTTGTGATGAACCAATACTCATTTTAGCTCTGCAGTATAATCAAGCATGGATAGATGTTCACTACTAATCTCTTTCTTGTGCAGCACTGGGTAAACTTTAGCAATTTGTAATGTTGTGTGTTTTTTTTTCTTTAAAAAAGAAAGAATGGTCAAAGTAGTTGAACACAATCTGGCCAGAGCTATTCCCTGGGGAGCTTGAGGCTGACTTTGCAGATATGCCTGTAACTGATGATTGTAACTCTGTTTGTGGTGGTTCTCCATCCTGGCAACAGATTGTGCCACATAAATATACAAGAATGTATGCATTAAACTGATTGTAAACAAATCCTAAGAATGCTACAGCATAATTGCTAAGCAAAAGGAAAAAAACCCGCTCTGTTTGTAACTGGGATCCTGTGTATGACAGGAACAAAACCCCTGGCTGTGCACGTTATAACTTACTTGAATATGTGCACAGATCTTGAACTTTTTTTTAGCAATGTCGCACTTTCAGTTGAGCTCAAGAAATAGGAAGAGCTGCAAAACTAAGATAACAGTATTGACTGTAAATATATATTTTTCTATTAATAAAAGCTGTCATTCAAATATTTTTAACATGAACTCTACAGATTTTTCCAGTGGAAACTAATTTCTGGAAAAATCAAATGCTTGTTTGAGGAATTCTGATGAGTGGTTTCTGATCCTATTAGAGCCATTTAAAACCTCTCTAATGTTATAGAGAGAGCGCAGTGACCGGATTCACAATGTTTAGTGCCTTGTCAAGAAACTAAAATGTAGCTAGCTCGTCACTTGGTGGAAATCTTATGCTTTTCATAATAGCCCTAGAAATAATACTGCCCACAGTAAGGTGCAAAAGACTTTACAAAACTAAATGCTGTACTTTGTATGATACTGAATTGATCTATTCAATGAGATTTGGTTTGGGAGTTTATGTGAACGAGTTCCTTTAAGCTGGTTGTACTACAGCATAAACCTGAAGTAACAGAATTGTGGGCTTTCAAATCTGGGATCTGCACAGGGAGGATAGTGGGTAACAAGTCAATTGGTCTAGACTGACCACAGCATCAACAGAAGCCTATTGCTTTGACAATCTACTGCATACACTCAGCTTCTAGGAGATGAGGAATCTGATTAGTCTGGAAGAAGCGGTGAAGGTAAGATGTGCTGCTCCTGGTGTAGGTAGTGGATGTGCTGCACACCATACTCTGTGGTGTGAAATGCAAACCTCTTGTTAAACCAGGAGTTCTAAAAAAAATACTCCTGAGATTTGTTTTGTATTTCTTAAATGGGAATTACTTATTCACTAATTATCTTTCAAACCTCAGATCTGATCCAGTCAATATGCATAACCAGGTGAATATAAAGAGAATCTACTAGTAAAAACTTGCCTACAAATTTTCAGGAATGAGGAAATCCAGCATTTTATTCTGGAGTCTCAGGAACGTCCAGATATAGAAGCCTGGTCTCACTTCAATATTCAGACATGATGAAATCAATAATTCAAGCTCGGATATGTTGCTGGCCCACAGACAAGAATGCATGTAGCATTTACAGAAATGTTCCACCTTAAATCTTTTATGCTCCACACATTCCGGCAGCACCCACAAGGTATGAATGGATCATCTTGACATTTTAACACAGGGGAATTCCCAGATATTAGAGAGAAAAATACATTATTTGAATAAATTGCGTGTGTTAGGGTTCAGCTACTTGGAGAATTTATTCAGCAGCTTCCCACGGTAGGTCCTTAACTTTAGCATGTAAAAATAGTATTTGCTGCTGAAATAAAATGTATGTTTCTCAATTCATGTGCTGAGATGCCCCACCTAAATTATTTTTTTTGTTTGTAATAGCAATTAAATTCATATGTAAGTATAAATTAAATGGTCCTGTTTTTATTTAAACCAATTGTAACTTTTCTGAGGGATACAACGGAAACTGAATCGGACCTTTTAATGCACTTTCCTTTCCCCCTTTCCCCAAATAGGAATTAAGCTGTTTCTCTGTTGAAGCAGTACATGACTATTATTCCCTGCACGACTAGGCCATCTGTTTTACTCTGATTTTGCAGAGGTAGTGTTGGTTCTGCTGAAACTCCTGTAAAACCTAGAGCACAATCAGAGCCCTTCAATCCATG